TATTTTGAAAAATAACTTAAAAAAATCTAATCTAATTTTTTCAAAAAATATTTTTTTATTTCCTACTAAAGATGTACCGGAAGTTGTCTAAGTTAGAACACTCGGAAATAAAACAACTTCTTACAGAAGCTAACATAGAAGTAGCAAAACATTACGCAACAAACAAAAAAGCACTCGCTGACATCCTCAATGACTATAATGGTGCAATAAGTTATGATAGAATTCATGAGTTCATAAAGCCGCAACGCGGCGAGGACGAAGTCCATGCAAGAGCATTTCCTTTAAATGACGTTGCTATTGACTTATATCATAGACGTTCAGTACCTCATGAAGTAAGAAGAGAAATGTTTGACATAACAAATGCAAACGTTGGTGAAACAAGAAGAAGAGACGACACACTGAAACAACAGAGAAGAGAGATGTTTAAGAGCGCTATAGAACAAGTTCGCAAAGCTAACGATGTCCTTCGTTCCATTGACGACAAACCAAAAGAAGGTGAGAGATGGTTAAAGAAAGATGAAGAGAATAGGAAGAGAAATGTGAAGTCAGGCAATAGACTCATTGACTTTAACATCGAAGCTTTAGATGAACCAAACAGAGACTACTTACACAAACATTTCGGTAAGGTTTTCATGAGACTCTTAGAGAAAATTAAAATAAACTCACAACAGAGATGGATGGTATGTTATAAACTTGGTGGAAAGTATGAATGTTCTACGTTAAACCTCAATAATATTGGAACATTACTACATCAGCTCTTGAAGGAGAACTTTATATCAGAGATAGAAGCAAATGCTGCAGGTATTGTTGAAATGCACTATGACTTCTTCTTGACAAACATAAAGAATCTTACTGAAATAAAGATGTATGATTTAACAGAATATGAAGGCTTAACGATGTCAGATGTAAAGAAAGGCAAACCAAAAAAGAGACCATATAGAGATGAAAGCACACTGACAAATGACCAGAAAGCCATTTTGGAAGCTCTTAAGCAAACAGGAAACCCAGCACTTATAGAAAGCTTTTGGAAAGATAATGGTGAAAAGAAGTTTTATAAGAAGAGAAGCGGTTAGTTCTGGAAGTATCTTTGCACATTACCTATAAATCTTGAACGCTACAAATCTTCAATGAATTGAACAAAAGAACTGCAGCACTTATGACAGAAGACAATTGTTTCGTTTATGCTTGCATTCAGGCTGGAGTAAATGAAGAAACTATTGACCACATGAGAGAATCATTCGTGTAGAGACTTTCCTCAAAGTAAAGTACAAGAAATTTCTGACGCAACAGGTATAGCATTTAATGTTACCATTGTTATTTCAATGACTCAAGACATAATGAAATAAAGAGATACATACCAAAAGAATGTGAAACTGTTAGAACTATTGACTTACTTCTTGTTGAAGACCACTACATGCTAACGAAAGATTACCAATGACAACATATTTCATTCGCAACTATATAAGAAATCTTGAAGGAGTGTGGTGGAATGAACATTGAGAAACAGATGAAGATTTATACAAAGAGAGAGATAATATGTAGTTCGTTATGATAGAACAACACCGTTATGGGATGTTATGAAAACATTGTGGGAGTGCAAATATTTCGAACCTATTTCTTATGGAGAACTTTTCACATATACGACTGACTTATATAAACAGAACCTTGCACCATTTAAAGACTTGTCATATGCTCCAAAGTATTGTGTACAACTGAAGAAGAAAGCCGAGTCAAAAGAAGTAAATAAAGCTAAATGTAAGTTCATTCCTGAGCACGTTTTCTTTGCTGACTTTGAGTGCAGTACCGATGGCTTTCATAAAGCTTTTAACATCTGTTATGACAGTGAAGATGGTTCAGTGAGTGAAAGCATATGGGGTCAGAACTGTGCAACAGAATTTTTGGAACGACTTCCTGACAAGAGTTTAATATATTTCCATAACCTCAGTTATGATATAAACTTCATCTTAAGACACATGACAGAAGTGAAAGGAACTCCCATCATTAAAGGTTCACGAACAATGCAAATAACTGGCTTATATAAAGGAAGGGCAATTATTATAAAAGACTCTTACAGTGTTATAAATAAGAAGCTTAAACTATTTCCTGCTATGTTTAACTTACAAACAGGACCGAAAGAAGTATTTCCATACAACTACTACAGCAGTGTTTTGTTAGCAAATGACACAGAACTGGTGTCATTTCTGAAGCATGTAAGTTTATCCAGGATGCAGATACATTCATGAAAAACATAGATTCCATCAAAGGTTGCAGAATAGATGAGAACCACTTCGACTTAGAAAAGTATAGCACATTTTATTGCAAACAAGATGTAAGAATTTTAAGAGAAGGTTTTGTTAAGTTCCGCAATGACATATTGAAAGAATTTGATTTAAACGTTTATGACTACGTTAGTATTTGTTCAATTGCTAACAAATTATTTGAGAACAGAGTGTACTTCCCGAATGGAAATTTATATGACCTCTCAAATAAACCAAGAGAATTTATTTCACGCTTTATTCAAGGTGGAAGATGTATGCTGTCAGATAACATTAAACAAAAGCGAAAAGAAATCATTGCTGATTTCGACGCTGTTTCATTATATCCATCAGCTATAGCAAGACTTTATACTTTAGAAGGTATTCCAAAGGTTATGAAGAAAGAAATGTTAAGCACAGAGTATCTCATGAGACATTTATTCGATGACGACCAAAAGGAACCCATTGGTGAAAAGTTTATGTCTGGCTTCTTTGTTCTCATTAAGATAACAGAGATTGGAATACATAGACACTTTCCTTTAATAGTTTGTGACCTGAACTAAATCCAGAACTTAACGTTCCCAGAAGTTCAAACACTTGCTGTTTAATGTATGTTGACCATATAACATTACAAGACCTCATAAAATATCAAGGTGTCAAATGTGAAGTGTTGCAAGGATACTATTACGATGGAAACAGAGATATTAGAATAAGAGATGAAGTAAAGTATAAGTTGCATTTCATGCACGTTGTAAAGGTGTAAAACAAGACGTTCTTGCTTTAACAGCTAATGAAATGTTTCCTGAAGCTATACAATGCTATTACAATGAAGATAAGAACATTCACATATCTGTTGGAACATATGACAAAGACTCTGAGTTCAGTTTAATGAAACTTTACAAAGCACTTCATGATGGTCAAGAGATTGGATTTGACTTATGTAAGTCTTCTAGTCCTTGCTTTGCTGAAAAGTTTAACTTCTCAATAACGACTAAAACAAGCTTTATTCGTAAGTTGAAGTTCTGAGGTCATTTATTTTTGTCAGCAATGAGGTCATTCGTGATAAAAATAAGCCGCTAGCGGCAAGGGCGAAGCCCATGTGGTCATTTACAATACTGCGATGGTAGAGTTTAAGAGTTGTGCTTCAATGTAGAGACAGTCCTTATGGTCTGGAGGTAAGAACACTTGGCAGTTATGGTCATGAGTGGAGAACATGTCTATCCAAAACTCACGATTGAAGCCAGTTAATTTATAGTATTTAGGATTTGGCAGTGGTGTAGTTCTTGTATGACCAATGAACTCATTTTCAACTCCCTTACTTAAGTTTGAATATAATATAGCTTGCTTTCTATCCCAAATGCCAGGTGTTACAATCTTTGAAAATTCATTTTTCCTCGGAAGCATTGCATCATAATTGAAAACATTTTTGAAATCATCACTTGGTTCAGAGATTTGAAATCTTATACGTAATGGATTTTCTTTCTCTTTAGCGACTTCATTGATTGGTGAGAATACATCAAACTGACAGTCATGTGTTCCATCTTCATTTTCATTAAATTCATAATGAAAGTCTATAAGTTGTGGCTGACTACCTTCTTCTTTCAGTTGTGCAAGAAACTCACGTAAAGGCTGTAAAGTTTGTACTTCAATGTTAAACTTTTTCTCGAACATTTCATTAAATGAAATCATACATTGTTGCAATGTTGTATCGTCTTTAAAGTATTTGTATATGTGAATGTTTTGGGCGCTTAAAGACTGTTCGTCATTTTCTATCTCGACTTGAAGTATAAAGTCAACCTTTCTGAAAGCACGTGTTATATACATAGATGTTATGCCAATGTACTTCTCTTCATTTATATTCACAATCCAGTCTGTTGGAAACTTAAACGTTACTCTGTTCCCCTTTATTTTGACGTCAGGGTTTTCACTACTGAACGCAACAGATAAAGGTATTTGTCTATACATTTAATTCGGATAAAAATAAACCATTTACTCTTTCTTTGCTTCGGCTTCTTTAGCTTTTGCTTCAGCTTCTTCTCTAGCTTTCTTCGCCAGCAAACGTGGGTTCTTCTGTCTTCCAGCAGCTAATGCAGCAAGTTGTTTTTCACTAAGTTTTCTCTTTGGTCTCTCTGGCTTTTGTTCTTGTTTTTGTTCCTTCAGTTCGGATAAAATTTGCTCACGAATTTCTTTCTTCAATGCTTCAACATCTATGACCTCTTGGGTCTTGTCCGTGGGGCTTGTCTGAGTCATTTGACTGCAGATAAAAAACAAAATTAAAACTTTAACCGATGTAAAATGAGCTTGTCAAATCAGAGCGAGAGTCTATTATATTAAATGACGCAAGAGGAATACAACATCCTTTCTATTACGTAAGTCAGAGTAAAGATGGTAAAATATACGTAAGAAAAAGAAAGGTTCCATTAGCGAATGCAGAAAGCGACAACATTAAGGTGTATGGCAAGGGTGAAGTCCACGAAGCCCATATAAAACCTTCTGTTCAAACTGAAAAGTCAATAGAACCAGAAGAAAAGAAGCCAGATGTACTTTCAATAACGAACCAAGAGCTTATTGCAAAGTTCGTGAATTTCATTGAAAAACAAACCGAGTCAAAGAATCCTGACCCCCAGTGAAAGAAGTTGAGACAAAGAGAATGTACAGTTCATTGAAAATGTCAAGAAACAACTTCCACCACGAATGCCAAGAAGAAGAGTGAGAATAATGAAGTAAATAGATATTTTTATCTGAAGTAAATACATGCAGAACGAACAGCTAAACGAATTTACTCCAGCAGAGCATATTCATCAGATTCGCTCATATTTCGATATCATAGACAATGCAGTTCAAATTGGTGACACTAATAGAAAATATTCTGACACAAAGATTCCATCACAACCTGGAACTGCTAAAGATAACACATGGGTAACATTCAATCTCTCACCTCCTGGTGAAAATATGTTGGACCTTTACAATACATTCATTACGTATAAAATGGAAGGTCAATTTATTGTAGATAAAGAAATTGGTTCGGGTTCCAATAAAACAAACCCACAGGATTTTGGATTGGTTTCGATGACGCTTTCTATGCAGTTGCTGGATATCAAATCCTTGCAAATGGTCGTATCGTATATTCTCAAGACAACGCAAGAGAAGAAGCATATATAACTTCAAACTCACAAACTACCGAACAAATAAAGAAAGTAGATGTTTCTCTAAAAGACTCGACATGAAGATGTATGGAGTCATTCGGGAACATGCAGAACAGGACAAATTGTTAGTGGTCCAATTACAGCAGGAAAATCATTTGATTTTAAGCTTCGTTTAAGAATTCCTGTTAGAAGATTCCTTCCATTAGAAGCTATTCGATTTATTCCAGCTTTTGCAGGAAACATTCAGCTTAAAGTAAAGTTCAGTAGCGACGCCTTACAATGCACATCTATATCTGTAAATGATATCATTGCTTTCAATCCAACTCTTAAAGTTGCATTTGCTTCAGATTCAAATCCCGACAAATAAATTTGTTCCATGGAATGAACCATTCACTATGATAACGAAGGCAGTAGAAGCTAGTGGAACAGTTACTATTACAACTGTAACCAGCAACTATTTCGAACAAAGATGGATTTTAATGAATGTTTTCATTCATCCAAAGTCATTCTCTTTAGACCCTAACATTTATACAGAACTTGTAGAACATTATACAAACGAGGCTTTATGTTTTTCCTGTTAAAGTTATGGATTGGATTCCTATGGACGGTTCATTCTCAAAGAATACAGATAGTTCAAGTGCAACATTTACAGCAGCTTATACGCCTATTAATGTTAAAAGTATTTGGGCACTATTTAGAAAGAAAGACAACTATTATGTTAATTTTGAGAACCCTAAGTTTAAATATCTTCAGCTTTCCATGGGAGCTTATGGAAATATGCCTGCAGAACCTGAAAAATCATATGGACCTGTTTTTTATGAAATGGTTGCGAACGCCTGCAATACAAACAATGATATGATAGGATTTAATGAAGATGTTATGAGGTCATTGGTGGATGATGGTAGTGTGGAACATAAATGGGATAGCTATGACAACACACATTTCTTATGTGGTTTTCAACAGAAGTGGACTTTTGCTTCCAGCAAGGTCAAACATCTACTGCTCCAATAACATACAAATTGTCTGTTAAAGGACCTATTGAACTAGCAACTGAAAACGTACCAAAGCCACTTATTGGATTTATGAGGGATTGTTGCTTTGCCATTCAGGTGCGTGCTAATGGAATCCCAATAATAAGATTAGATGACTATAACTTAGCTACGGACGACGGTGAGGAATAAAGGATGAACGTTTATTTTTAAAGCTTATAAATGAGTTCTTCATCAAGCTCTCGTGAACCTTCACCATCTATGAAACAAACTTTACCAAACGATTATGGAGCACCTATTGAATATTTCTTACGAGCTGCACAATGGCAAAGAGCAGTCTCACCAAGGTTAGGTGTTCCACCAGCTCCTGTCAAAAATAGCATTTGGTCAAGTCCTTATATAAAATATGGTCTCCCTAGGTTTGCTAGCTACAGCAGGAGCAGTTATGATGTTGAAAAGAAATAAAGCAAATGTTGTAAATAATACTGAAGTAGCTGAAGTTAAACAAACTCCAACACCTTCACAAGCAAAACCTTCAATGACTCCTGAACCTATGGAAGTACAAACTCCTGTTCAAAAGTCAACTCCAAAACCGACTCCAACATTTAAACCAGAACCTACTCCTCAAATAAATCGTAAAACTCCTGTGTTTCCTTACTGAAAAAATAACGTTATTTTTATTTAATATTAAAATTTTTATTTGATTGAAATGACGACTAAAGTCACTGAAGCAATGAAACAAAAGTTCTTGGTAGAATACATTAAATCAGGAGCGGTTACAGAAGGTTTTTACGTTCATACTATGAAGGATGGTAGAGTTCAGTTTAGAAAGATAAAGCAACCATTAGATAAAGAAGGAATTTTGAGAAAGATTAAACTTCATGAGGACAACATTGCTGAACTTAAGAAGAAGTTAGAAGAGTTGGATAAAGGAAGAGAGTTATAAAGCAATGAATTCAACAGGGTGAAAAAACAGGTGAAAAAAGATGTGAGATCTCACCACTTCACCTAAATTTATTTTTGTGCTATGTTTTCATACGTGTGAGGGTGGTGATATCATTAATTTTTAAGTTTATTTTTTATTTTACTGAAAATTTTTATTTGGATGTAAATGACAGAACAAAAGCAACTCATTCGAATTCCACAGTATAACAAACATACATTTAAACATTTATTCTTCCTTCCTGAGCATAACATGTTCTTTCAAATACATCCGAGACCAGTTGACTTTTCATTGACTGTGTATAAAGATAGAAATAGTTATATCATTAAACCATACGATGACGAAGGTAAGTTATGTAAATTGTACGTTAAGAAGTTAGAGAAAGTTTATGTCTTCAAGTATGACTACAATAGGGTTAACACTGATGATGAAGATATTGAGGAAAATTTATGAGAACATTAGTGAAGTCGTTAGTGAGAGCGATAGTGAGAACGTTTATTTTTTACATTAGTGAGTTCGTTAGTGAAGTGAAGTGGGTGGTGGTTTTGTAAATATTTAAGGTTAAGTTAGTGTTGTCATTTGTGCTGAGGTTAGTACTTGTCGTTAGTGTTGGAGTTTGTGTTTGTTGTTAGTGTTTGTCATTTGTGCTGAGGTTAGTACTTGATGTTAGTGTTGGAGTTTGTGTTTGTTGTTAGTGTTTGTCATTTGTGCTGAAGTTAGTACTTGATGTTAGTGTTGGAGTTTGTGTTTGTTGTTAGTGTTTGTCATTTGTGCTGTAAAATATACGTTGACGGTTTTGTAAAGTGTCAAACCATTATCTTGGGTAAGGTGGAACGCAGTGCCACCATAACCAAGATAACCATACTAACTCCTTATATAAAATATGGTCTCCCACTAGGTTTGCTAGCTACAGCAGGAGCAGTTATGATGTTGAAAAGAAATAAAGCAAATGTTGTAAATAATACTGAAGTAGCTGAAGTTAAACAAACTCCAACACCTTCACAAGCAAAACCTTCAATGACTCCTGAACCTATGGAAGTACAAACTCCTGTTCAAAAGTCAACTCCAAAACCGACTCCAACATTTAAACCAGAACCTACTCCTCAAATAAATCGTAAAACTCCTGTGTTTCCTTACTGAAAAAATAACGTTATTTTTATTTAATATTAAAATTTTTATTTGATTGAAATGACGACTAAAGTCACTGAAGCAATGAAACAAAAGTTCTTGGTAGAATACATTAAATCAGGAGCGGTTACAGAAGGTTTTTACGTTCATACTATGAAGGATGGTAGAGTTCAGTTTAGAAAGATAAAGCAACCATTAGATAAAGAAGGAATTTTGAGAAAGATTAAACTTCATGAGGACAACATTGCTGAACTTAAGAAGAAGTTAGAAGAGTTGGATAAAGGAAGAGAGTTATAAAGCAATGAATTCAACAGGGTGAAAAAACAGGTGAAAAAAGAGGTGAGATCTCACCACTTCACCTAAATTTATTTTTGTGCTATGTTTTCATACGTGTGAGGGTGGTGATATTATTAATTTTTAAGTTTATTTTATATTTTATTTTTATATAAATGACGAAAACTATTGAGATAACAAACTACAACGGTCATGAGTTCAAGAATTTGTTCTTCGTTCCTCGTGAAAATACATTCTATCAGATACGAGGGAGAAAGGGTAAAGTTAGTTTGAGCGTTTATGACTACAAGCATAATGGAAAGTTTATACAAGCATATGATACAAACGGTAAGCGTGTTTCATTAGCTTTGTCAAAACTTACTAACATTTATTTTGACAGTGACTTTGACCTATATGAAGAAGAAAGTGAGTCAGAAGATTATGAGCTGTTATGTGAAGCACAGCAATGGGAGGAGTTGCAATACTTTTGTAAGTGAGAACGTTTATTTTTTACATTAGTGAGGTGAAGTGGTTGGTGGCTTTGTAAATATTTAAGGTTAAGTTAGTGTTGTCGTTTGTGTTGTAAAATATACGTTAACGGTTTTGTAAAGTGTCAAATTCACATATAGTGGGTAAGGAGGCGCGCAGTGCCGCCGTACCCATGATATGTGTGCTAACTCTCGCAGAACTTTAGGCCCTGAGAGGAGTCTGTTTTGCCTAAGGTAATCAATGCCTCTCTGACACCGCGCCGTGTGAACTCAATGTCTGGGATTGTAAAGTTGATGCCCTGTTCGCGATTGACTTTATTTTTAAGCCATTTGGCGAAGCTCTCTAGGAAGCTTTTAAATGCTGGCTTCATTGTAGCATAAAGGCTTATATCTAGGCTCGCAATAAGCCTGGCAATGATCTCTTCTAACGAAGGATCATTACCAGAGCCAACTGCTTGCTGAGTATTCTCAATTTGGTGCTCAGCAGGAACGTAGTTGGGCATTGGGAGTAAAAATTTGCACTTATGATCTTTAAAATCATTTTTCCTGCTTTTTTTAATGCATTGCACGAACTGCCCTTGAACTAATGTTTCACTACATTCGGCACAGTATGTAAAGAGCCTTCCTTTGCCTGATTGATTAGGCTCATTCTCATAATAGCCGATCGTAGTGAAACATTTTTTTTCCACACTTTGTTTCCAATGTTTCAGGAGTTGGTGGATATTTCGTCTTCTTAAATGGAATCCACTCATCATATACATGAGGATCCCATGCAGTCATAATAAAAATAAAGCTTTTTGAATATATTCAATTTTTAAATGATATTTTCACGGGTTAAATATAAAATAAAGAATAAGATGTAAATTATTAAAATAATTAATTTTAAATTTTGAACATGTGATAAATATTTTTTTGCATTGTTATTAATAATGAAAAATAAAGCTTATTTCAATGAAAATTGTTCTGCAAATTTATTTCACTTTTGACCTCACTTTTTCCGTAATTCAATTTTTTACTTTTAATATTTTAGATCTTCATAATATCATTTGAAAAATTAACCATATAAAAAAATCAAGTTATCAATTCACTTTTTCCGTAATTCAAAAATCAAAAATATAAATAATATATCTTTTTATCAAATATTATTATTATATTCTATGAAAAATGAGGTCCGGAAATTTTGCGGATTCCCGTAACTCAATTTTACGGGAAAAGTGCAGTAAACTATTCAAAATACGGAAAAATTGGTGTAAACTAATGATTTTACGGTAAAATCACGGAAAGTCCCGGAAGAATATATGTGCCTATATGAAATTAGACAAAAATGAATCAAACGCATTTTAAAAGATTGTTCTTGTATTATAAATGCTATTCGCAGATTTATTAGTTGAAGAAAATTACCAAATTTTTGCCGATTTACAAAAAATGATTTACAAAGCATATTTTTATAAGGCTTAAAAAATCTTTAAAATGTGACCGGTGACGGAAATCCATGGTAACCAACCGCGGTTCCCGTTTGGAATGCCATATATATATCTTACCCATTCATTTGGAATACGAGGTCTCGAGTTTTCGTTCATTTTTTTTACTTTACAAAACTGTTTATTTTTCAGAATTTTTAAATTTGAAAAAATCCATTCTATATCTGATAAATAATATATTATTTTTCAATCAAAATATTTTGATTATCATCTCAAAAGTGTTCTCAAAACCTAGTTTTTCTTATTTTGGATAATCTTAATATTTATATTATTATAAACTAATTGAACACCATATGTTTTTGTATACTTTTACAAAAAAATTGATAGATTTGTGATACTTCCCCCGACGATAGAATTGAATAGCTTACATTTTGACAGAACTTAATATGGAACACAAGCGAAATATTAAAATGTTCAGATAGAGAATTTATAAATAACTCTGTCAGAAATCAAAAAAAATGGAATTTGCCCCAGAACCATTTTTGCCAAATCCTAAAGACTTTTTTGCACCAGAAATCGAGCACAACATTGCAAAGACTAACAAGACAAAAGTTTGTTCTGGATATGATTACGCAGGACAGCACAGAACAATTAACGGAGAAGTTGCTTGTCAAAACCAAGAAAAAGACAGGATAAAAGGAAGGCTTACTGGTTTTGATACTAAAAACAATATAGCATGGCATGAAATCACTTCAAGATTCGGAGAAAATGTTAAACAACAAGAATTACTCAGTATAGCCAACGTTCTCTCGCTAAATGCTAACATAAAGCTTGACCGAGATGCTAAGCGTAGGAAATCTGTTCTCATTAAATGGTTTAATGAAAATTGGACAGTATTAGCTCCATTCTTGCAGTTTGTCGTACTAGATGAAGCTTTCGATCATTGATCAAATACCCCTTCACATTTTACATTCAGATCATGTTTCATTTACTTGGTTTTGAAATATTATCTGAATATTTCATGCGCCAACTGTTTAGTAAACCAAATTTTTATTTAATTGTTCTTACATAAAAGTTTTCTCAATATATTTCCGAGATAATATTGATAATATTTGGAAAATAAAAGTAGAAACAAGTCTGATGCTATATTCATCCGAAATTTGCCGATGGAGTATGTTTTTATTATTAATTTAATGAGTTTCTAAATTGAAATAAAAATTGATCTGAAAAAATAAGAAATTTGATCAAGATATTATCATAACAAGCATTGTTATAAGATTCTTAATTGAACAATGCTAAATGTGATCACTCAAACCTTCTCTATTCCAGATTTCGAAAAAAATGTGACATCAGAAAAAACTATGAACAATATAAAAAGTCTCCGAAAACCACATCAAAAATCTCTTTGGAGCGATCCACATGCGCACATGGAAGTCCTCATTTATATAATGGTTGCTACTCTCATGGCTATTTACTACGATTACTTAACTCTCGGAGAATTAAGAGCATACCTGCAATACAATAACATCACATTATCATTTATGCATACAAAATACAATATCGATGTTGTAAATGAAACAAGAACGATTATAAAAGGAAATCATGAATCAGATAAAAAATACATTTTAGAAGATGAATACCAAAAACGTATGGGCGGCATCTTCTTTATGAATTCATCTCTAGAACGTACGAATGCTACATATATTGACTTAATGTACGTCTATGTTTGCGCATTCGGTGGTTGCGTTCAATCTGATGGTAAAATCTATTTACCAGAGAGAGACAGAATATTCTTAAAGCTTGGAGAAGCAGGCCAAGTTGTTGGCTACTACGAACATGTTGTTGCCTCAGGAAATCGTTGGGCAGCAATGTACGCGCATTGGATGTATGATTGCGTTGCATATCTACTTTTTATTCCAGAAGAAATCAGAAAGAAATCTGTTTTCCTTTTACCAGTAAATTCAACAATTTACAGCGAAGCCGTCGAAACTCTTGGATTTAACAAGTCTCTTGGTCAAATTCTTTACCTAAACAGCTCACAATGGGTGTTTGCAAGGCATTTCCATACAGTTTACACTCCAGAATCAATTCATGGCTGTATGATTTGGGCAGTACACGAATTAGGAAGGAAATGGAAAGAATTATACGGTCTAAATGCTACAGTACCTACAGATTACGCTCTTTACAATCGTCCTTACGGAAATAGATATATTATTGAATTTGACGACTTCTGTTACTCGATACAGATGCGATTCCCTGAATACAGATGGATCAAGCTACAAACTCTATATCCTACATTCAAAGAATCCGTTATTGCATACAGTCATGTGAAATTATTGTTTGCTCCAGCAGGATCTAACTGGGCAAACGTCATTTTCATGAACAAGAACACTGCTGCTGTATGTGCAATGGCTGATACCAATGATATTCCTGTTCTTGCCGTTTGCGAAGTCATGAACATTTGGTTGTCAACTTTCCCGATACCAGGAATGAGACACCACGGTGGAGTTTCCGGTAAAATGGACTTCGAGATAGCAATTAAGGCTGTACAAAAGGCACTGTTTGCATTAGATCACGGAAGATGGCCAACAACCACAGAAATATAATTTTTATGATTTGTTGTTTATTTCGTATAATATAAAGATTATTGTTATCTGATTTGTTTTATTTGTATTGATGAATATTTGATATTTTTATTTTGAAATATAGTTTTCACATATAATGAGCGACCAAAACTATTCCCTTGTTGAAATATTCTATTTTAAAACGATGTTTCTTATTCCAAAATTTATTTGAAATACTAGATACATAAAAAATTTTATCACCTTTTTCTTGAATTTTTTGATTTAAGGGTGCCCTATAACGATAATGTAAACATCACAAAATTAACCTTATTAGAACTCGAATGAATGGATTATCCAGATTCTAGTTCTCAATATAATAGCCTTAAAAGTGCTTTTCTGAGGGTGGTTTATCGTCTATAGGGCACCCTTAAAATTATTTTTTGAAAAATTTTCACCGGTTTTTGAGGGTTTTAAATACACAGATAGATTTAATTTTAGCTATATAATAATTTTATTTGATAATAATATCATGTGGTTAATTTTTTTCTCAATATATTTGATTTACTTTAAAAAATTTCAATATTTTGGAGGATTTGTTAAGCTGGGCTTCAACAGTGCAGTATGTATAAATTCTCAATGAGGCATTCAACATCAATATTTATAGATTGATATAATTATATAACGAATTATTTAAGGACTGGAGTTCAATATCTATATATTTATGCATTTTTATAAATTGAGATACACATTCCAGAACATATGCCAATAAAAATACATTTTTCATTGGAGAAAAAATCTTTTTGATGGAGAATGGATCGAGTGAACTCTCGATTCATGAACAAGACATACACAACTCGGATGATTCAAAAGAAAATAACTTTGATTCGCAAAATTCTCTCGAGAGTCTTTCAACATTCATCACATCTCTCCAACAGTTGCAAGAAGAGATAGAATACAAGATAAATATCGTTCAAGATGCAATAAAGGAGCTTGAGTCATTCAAAGATTACAAAGAAACTCCAGGAGAATCAGAATTTGAAACAGCATTTGATGATGCGGACCAGAAAAAGCCAGACTTTGAATTAGTTGATAAAGTATTAAACGAATTCATTGATAATATCTCAGATATTAAGCAATTATTACTATATATCGATGATCAAATACAAGTATCTCATATTCAACTCAAACAAAAGAAAAAACGTCTCTCAGAAGCAAATAATATAAACTTAGATTCAGATACTACATCAGAATTGTATCGAGATGAAAATAATCCAAAAACTAAGAAAAATACAGAGATTAAGAACAAAATTAAAGAAGATGGAGAATCAGCACTTGCTGCTAGACAACAAATAAACCAATTAGTTGATGAAATTAATCAATTACAATATAATGGGGAAATATCTCAACCAATAGGGGATGATTCGCAAGAACACATCCAAGAATCAGAAGAAGATATTAAAAAGGAACAGATTATTGACCAAAACTTACAAAATTATTATGAAGCTGAAATTTCAAGATATAAAAGAATCTTAAACATCCAACAGAAAGAGGTAGAAGAGATGACACAAGTTAGAAATGAATGTGAACAATCAATTGAAGAGTTCGAGACAGAGAAAAGGAAAAATATTGAAGAATTAAATACAAAAACTACTGAAATTTCCGATTTAAAGATGGAAATGAATAACTGCATTAGAGCAATTACAGAAATCAAGAAGATAAGTCCACAATTAGCTGCATTTAATGCTCATATTACTTCTGTTGTTGAAGATATGGAAAAAATCAACAATGGAGTGAAAAGTCAGCTAGAAAAGCTTACATTAGAATACCAGAATTATCAAGAAATTGTTGATTCGTACAATAAAGCACAAGAAATCATAAAACAGAACAGATTACATCAAGATGACGTAATTCAGAAACTTATTGAGGCAACTGACTTATCAGATAAAACATTAGAAGAAATACATCGATACAAAGTAGAAAAGGATGGTTATTCTGATGATCTTCAGAATATTAACAAAATTATTGAAGATGTTACACAAAAACTTGATAAACAAGTTGAAGAAATAGATAAATCAGCTAAAGACTATTACTCAACTGCTCTTTATAAGCTTAGTTCCAGAATTAATGAAGCAAAAGCCGAAAATTCAAATTTAATTAGGGAAAAAGAGTTTTTATTGACCGAAATCCAAGACAGCAACAACAAATATCAAACTCTTAAAGAATCTACTGGTCAAAAATCAAGGGATGAATATTTATCAGAAATTTTCGAATTCAATAAAAAGTGTCAAGAGATTATTCAAAAATTGATTGGTTTACATCAAGAAAATATCAATACAAAAAAGAGGATTGAAAAATTGAATGAACAAAAAGGTTCTACGGATAACCAAACATATATAAACATATTAAATTCAAGAGCACAGCAAATAAAAATGGCAATTAACCAAATTTGTTCAAATATCGGAGATATTGAATCACAAAATCAGTCAAATAACGAAATTAACATCCAACTCAAGAAGCACTTAGAACAAAAGACACAAGAAGTTAAGAATATAAAGCAAAATGCAACAGAAGAAAAAGAATCTCAAATTAAGAAGAGCAAACAGGAATTAGAGAAAATTATCTCATTGCAACAGCAAGAGATAGTTTCAATGCAGAGTAAAATCGAGGAATTTCGGAAACAGTCAAAAACGGCAAAAAATAATTCCGAAAAAATGAGTAAAGAAACCCAAGAAAAGCTGAACACAATTGATGCACAACTATCAAATATGGCAAAAACTAGGAAGAAATTGGAATCAAGGCATATTGAGTTAATTGATTATTTAAACAAGTCTTCTTATAGTCTTCAGGATGTAACATCAGAAATTAACACTCTTCAGATAAGGATTGCCAAGAAAAACAGTCACGAAAAACGAAGAGCAGAGCAAATTACTCAAATGGAAGTTCAAAGACTTTCAATGGAAAGCGAAATAAAGAAGGCAAAGATGCTTAGCGCCAGACTTGATGAAGAAATTGCTTCTCAACAAGAGAAAAATAATCAAATTGATATCAGATTAATAGAAAATAACGAATCTTGACTTATATTTTTTGTTTTGTATTTATAAAAGAAATATATTTCTTGTTATTAGTTGATCTATTTTTAAATTAAATTTCAATTTGAAATCTTGTTTTGAGTTGGGAATTCTTTAGATATATTCTTAAGCAATTCATATAGTACAACTATAAATTTATTTTCATTCAGCATATATCAATAGATTAACGGTACTTATCGGATGAAAACCCTAAAAATGGCGTGACGTTTATCGGACGGGCTGAATGTTAATTATAAAACCACTATCTTATAAAGGATTAATTAGTAATTACAGCTTATTACGAAGTTTTTGTTTTTGGAGAAAAATTATTGATAAAATTCTTTTTGTCCAATCAAAATAAGTTTTAAAAGATTATTGGAAATAAAAAAGATGAAATTTAATAGATATACTTTCCAATTATTGAAGATATGAAAAGTAGTATATATGACGGGTTTTGTGACTTTTTTTGTAAACGTAAGAATTCATACAATATTGAACGATTTTGTAAGTAATTTTCATACAATCGATAAAATAAATGTATGATTCTTACGCTTTTTATTCTTACGTTTTGAAATAAATCATGATTTAAAAATTTTCAGAATCGTAAGAAATTTTCACAAACCCTTTACATAATGAAATAAAAAATAAAAAATTTAAAAAATAAATTTTAAAAATTCATGTCTTACATTTTTTGAATAATTTATTTTTTATTTTGTATGAAATGAGTGTCACAACTAACAATGTTAAAAAAATGGGATTCACAAATGAGGAAATAAAGGATATATTAGAGGAGGCAGGTTATGAAGTTGATAAATATTATTTAAGAAATTGTCAAAAATTCGCGGAGTTTTTAAATGAGTTTGATTATGATGGAAAAATGAATAAAGATGATGTTATAAATTTCTTATATCCCACATCTAAAGAAGAAAAACCTAAAGAACCTGATGTTTTCCCTGAATATTATGAAGAACGAATTAAAGATGATGAATATGATGAGATTGAGAAATTGGAACAATTAAGAAATGAAATAGATGAAAAAATTAAGGAATTAAGAGAAGTTGAAAAATATAATGAAAATGAAGTAGAGGGTTTAATGAATATCCCAGCTTCAGAATCAGAAGTTCAGAAATCTCATGAAGAAAGATATAAAAATTATGTCTCAGAATCAACACAAAATTTATTAGATGGTGAAATAGACGAAACACTTTCAGAAGAAGGTACTAAATTTATTCGTAAACATAAGTTACAATTTATTGATAATGAAGAATACCCTTGTATCCTACTTTCACCACCTTTAGATTCCGAAAAATTCAAAAAAGCTCTTAAAAACGTGACATATGCAACTAATACGATTAAGAAAGAAGATCATGATATTTACACAAATTATTATTTAAATAAATGCACAGGTGTTGATAAAGTTTTTGATTTATTAGATAAAATATCAAAAGAAACCATTGGAACCTATAAAATTTTGTGTGATTGTGGTTTCATTATTGAAGATACCAATAATGTTTCATATGAAAGAACAGCACCGAAGGAAGATGAAGTTGAAAGGTCTATACCATTCGTTATTAAGAACATAAAAGATATGAAAACGTATAAGCATTATATTTATTCATTTATTTCAGAAAAAATGGAAGCAACCCATAAAACATCTTCTCATCATTTTATAGCTATTCATACATTCCTTTTCAAAGTTGTGAAATTAAATAAGACAGGAATTAGATTTAATGTATCAGGGTACGCATTCTTGAGTAAATTAAAATGTATTCGTCACGTCGCAGATGATAAAAATTTATGTGTTCTTAATTCATTTTATGGGCTTTAAAAAATAAACTTTATTTTTATTTATTTTTTAATTTTTTATTCTTACATAAATGAACAAAAACGGAACAGCTAAAATGAATGATAATCAAATTAGAGCAGAAGGTAGAAGGTTATTTAAACGCTTCTATAACATTCCTGATGGTGTTAATCCTAAAACTCGTAGAAGCTATTTAAATGAAGCCATAGATGCATATGAAGGATTTGACATTTCATCAGAAAGTGAGAGATTAGCGAGAATGTTAAATGTTAATATTGATTTCTATTATTGTGATCCTCAACCAGAAGACGTGGACATAAATAAGGTAGACTTTCCATTAGTGGAATCAATAATGATAGATCCAGAATTTGAAACAGTAAATATTTTATTAACACAGAGTCCATGTGGAAAACTTCACGCTGACAGAATAACAGACGTAGAAGCACTCACCGGCTATAAAGTTTGTCCATTTTGTAAAGAAGAAGTTTATTCTATCCGTGATGACCCAGAAAGGAAAAACCAAAGAAGATTTTTAAAGCATTGTGAGAAATGTAAAGAAAATAATGGGAGATTAATTCAAGACGTTCAATTGCAAAAGACCCAGCAACCATATGCACCACATATTACGAAACAGAAGATATATCAGTGGTTATTAGCTCACAATTTGCAGGAATATTATAAACCGACAAGATATTATATTACTTTTGACTTTGAAACATTAGAGACTAAAGAAGAATTACAACTTTCTGAGTGTGCAACTTTGAACGCTTACTTAAAACCATTCATGGTATCATCAACGGTTAAATTAAAGCCGCAAAGCGGCGAGGTCGTAGACCGTGATAAAACATATACGAGAAATTTTTGCTTAACTTCGAGTGATTCTTTTATTTCTGATTGGATTGAGTTTTTATTTTCAACCTGTTCATTAGTTGCTAAATCAAATATTGAACAATATGAAGAATTATTGAAGCCGCAAACGGACCAAACGGTGGGGACTTTGTCTCATACATTAAATGAAAAACAGAAGGAAGCATTTAAAGAACTTTTAGATGAGGAATTTAATAAAGTGAATATCATAGGTTTTAATTCGGGAAAGTTTGATTTAAATTTAATTCTTCGTGATTTAAATACTGCAAAATGGAAAATAAAATCAATGCTGGGTTCTTCTTCACAATTTAAGCAAATCATTGTAAAGAAAACAAACTGTCCATATGAATTGAGATTTATTGACATCAGAAATTATATCGCGGGTGGAACATTAGACCAATTCACTCAAGATTTCGGAAACAATAAATCACGTGTTAAATCCTTTTTCCCTTATCAATTCATCACATGGGAGAATTACGAAGATGAATTATATAAAGAGGAACCATTCACTCAAGATTCATTTTATTCAGCATTAACACAAGAAACAATATCCGATTCAGATTATCAAATATATCTCAATGATGCTAAAAACTTTAAAAATAGATTAGAATATTTTATTCATTATTGCAATAAAGATGTTGAAATTATGATTGACCCAATTGATAAAATTATTGAAGAAACATTTGTTTATAAAATTGACACGCTTCATAATCTTTCTTTATCATCGAATGCTTCAATGATTCGTTACGCTTTAGCATATAAAGACTTTAATCCTAACGAAACATATCCAGAAGAAGAAAATGTGGAATCAAGTTTTGAATTAACGAAAAAGTATTGGAAATATAAAATTGATTCATATAAGAAACAAGATGAAAAAGCAGAAAGAGATACTAAAAATAATATTTCAATGGATGATTTTCAATACTATCATGATTTAATCCTTTCATCTAAATGCAAAATGTGTGGTAAAGCGTTTACATATGCAAATAAACCAACATTAGATAGAATCGATAATGAAAAACCACATACCAAAGAAAATTGTCAGTTAATGTGTTGTTATTGCAATGTCGTGAAATCAAATAAAGATGAAGATGTTCAACGTTTAAGAATCAATTTAAGAAATTATGCATTAAAAAATAATTTACCGATGACTTTAGATTCAGTTGAAGCTTATCACATTCTCCGTAATGGAATTACTGGTGGTTTATCAAATGTTCAACATAGAGTAAATCTTAAAGGAATCACGCACATTAATAAACTTTCATATAATCCAGAAACTAAAACTGTATCAAATGAGGACACCACCAACATTATGACTCATTTCGTTGGTGTTGATTTTAATTCATTATATCCTTCATCATTTTCATCTAATCCTCATGATTTCATTCAATATACTGACCATAAAATGTATATGCCGGGAAGATTGAATGGTGTTATCATTTGTGATACAGCAACAAAGAAAGCAAAAGCACTGGGAATAATTAAGAAGAAAAATACTTTATTCGTGGCTGAAGTAAAGGGTCACATTGATGAAAAATACATTAATGATTACATAAACTTTTTACCGATAATAAGAAACTTAGATATTATCACAGATGAAAAAACAATTGGCAGTTTTATGTATAATTACATGAAATCAAACAATCTACCGGTTGACCAGAAACAGAGAAAATTAACTCAGTTAGCATCAACACACAACCAATATCAACCTTTTTCTTCTTATTATCTTTGGTATCTAATCGACAGATTTCATTTTATCATTGATGATATTCAATCAATTTTAACATTTACTAAAAACACTTGTTTTAATGAATTTGCGAACGAATTTATGAATGAAAGACAAAAGGCTGAATTAGAAGGAAATAAAGGAAAAAGTTTATTTTGCAAGATTTCACTTAATGGATCATATGGTTACGATGCAATGAATACACAAAATTACGCAAAGACTAAAATAATGAATGCACAGAAGGCACACGTTGCATGTATGTCAAATAAGTTTAAAAACATAAGAGAAATAGGAGAGGATACGTATCAAGTGATGCTCAAAGATAGATTTTATAGATGTGATACATGTTTACAAGAGGCATTCTTCACTTTAGATAATGCTAAATACTGGTATTTGGTTTTCATTTATGATTTTATGTATAAATGCTTGAATGTTAATCGTTTTCATTTCATTGAAGGTGATACTGATTCATCTTATTGGGCAATCGCTGGCGACCCAAATCTTCCTAACACTCAAGCATTTCAAGCAATTGTTACCGATAAACAATTTTATGATAAAAACATTTTCAAATTCGCACCATTTGATTTCTTCTGTTTTGATGAGAAATTTAAACCTAAATTAAAGAATAAAGCTGAAGAAAAAGCACATGAGAAGAAGTTATTGGGTTTAGCAATTGAGAAACAAGGTGATAACATGGTTGCTTTATGTCCTAAGTGTTATACATCATTCAATGGTTCAATTGATGGAAGTGATTTTAAAAAGATTGCACAAAAAATGAAAGGTGTTAGTTTACGACAAAATAAACAATTAACACCTAAAAATTATTTGGATATAATAAATGATAAATTGATATTTGATGGTCAGAATATTAATTTACAACTTAAAAATGGGTCAATGACTCGCTTAACAATTGGTAAGACTGCATTAACAGGAGCACACACTAAGGCTGTATGTTGTGAAAATGGATGTTGTATGCCATTTATTTAATGAAATGCCACAGAAGAGACAAAAGGAACCGTTGAATGATGGTTTTGATACTATGATTCAAAGAGGTGGGCACCCTTAAAACATTTATTTTATTTTTATATAAATGGATAACACAGATTTAAAAAATTTAATTGATGATTTAGTACTTAATCAAAAATTTCTTAGTTATTATGAATTAAAATCATATCTCCAAAAATATAATAACAATATAACGGGTGATGATATGGATTATTATTATTCGTATTATAAAAATGAAATTTTGAAATATCATGATAGAATAATTTCTAAAATTAAAGACAAAATTAAAAATAATGAATATTCAAAGGGAAAAACTAAATCGCAACTTAAACAGTTGAAAGATTTCAAAAATAAAGTATTAACAGAAAAAGATATTGATGAATTATATAATTTATATAATCCTGAGCCACAAAAACCAAAGCCGAGGTCTAAAGTAACAAATGTTCAACAGCTAAAGGAACAAAACACCCAGGTCCTTCAGACCATAAATGAAGCACAAGCTTTAATTTATGATTCATTAGTTAAACCATATTCAGCCCGACTTTTAAATGAAGATCAACTTTTGGAATTCATCCTTCAACATAAACTCGAAGCGGGAAAGTATATCAAACCTTTATATACAGCATATTTAAAACAAATGAATAGAATACATCCGGAATTAATGAAGAGGGAAATGAAATCCAAAATCAAAGCAGATAAAATTAAACCACTTGCAACACCAAAACCTCCAACGACAGTACCGCCTCCTCCTTCAGTTAATCCTTCATCATTCACTTTATTATATCCATTTCAAACATTAAAGAAACAAAAAGATTTTAAAAAGGATTTCAAGATATTAAATAAACCAACTGACCCGAAAATTCAACCGTTAAAGGAAAAATTTAGTCGCCCTTCATTTGTCCATATCCATATTCATACGAAATCGATCATTTAGAATATTCAAAAGGAAACGTTACTTATTTATTTGCCATTAACATTAACACTAGATATTTATATTGCATTCCGGTGAAAGGGAAAACAGAACAGGAAACAAGAAGAGCTATACAATACTTACTAGATCATGAAAGAGTAGATAATATAAGGGGTGATGGTGATAAAGGATTTCAGGCGGCTATGACTCATTATTTCCCACAAATTAATTTTTACTTTTCATCCTCTCCATATACGTTTCATAATAAAATAGTTGATGCGGTAATGAGAACTCTTAGGGATGCGTTAGGGGTTAACGGTCAAATATACTGGGATGGAAATCATGACTCCATCATACAGCAGTTAGTATATTATTACAATAATACATGGCATAGAACAATAAACATGAAACCAGTGGAAATGAAAAATGATATTTCAAAAGAATGGGAATATATTAGGAAACAAATGGAAAGGTTAAATGATGTTAAACGTGAACAAATTAATTCGGGGCTCATGAATTTTAAACAAGGGGATAAAGTTTTGATTCATCTCGATTATGGAAAAACTGATAAATCAATGACAAAAAGAAGACGAAGATTTGACACAATAGCTGAATTTGTTAGATATATTAACGGCAATGCATTAGTTGAAGTTGGTAATAAATTAATAGAAATTCCGATTTATTTTATTACTCCATTATATTTAAATAATATTTAATTTTTTTTATTTCGTAAGAAATGAGTGACAACAAAGCAGTCAAGAGTCCTGATTTAATTAAGATTCAGAGTCCAGACAATGAATATAAAAAGAAACTAAACAGAATTAAATCAAAAATATGCTATTACAAAAAGAAGCCACAATGTGGTGGGGTTGAAAACGATAAAGAGAGGAAAGAAATAATCGAAAAATTAGAAACTTACCGTTCAATCCTTAAACTGAGTGAAGCAAAAATAAAAGAATTTAATAAAATAAATAAATTGATTGGAAGAGATGAATTTAATAAAGATGAATTTTTAAACTCAATCCAAATTTAATTTTTATTTTTCTTTGACAACATCTCTCTTTCCATCATTACCGCATAACCACATTTTCTCAATTTTAGTGGTTTGTTATTTTTAACATGTTCTTGCATCATTTTTATCATTTCCTCCCTTGTTATGATTCGTGGTAAATTTTGAGCTTGTGGGGTATTCATTTATGATAAAAATAAAAATTTAAATTATGCCATTCGCTCTTTTGGAGCTCAGGACTTTCAGTCCGTTCTAAAGTTTGTGACAACATGACATTATGTCAACAACATAGGAGGAAGGAAGTTATTAATTATTTTTGAATAACTGAAGGTGTCACCATGTCACCATGTGTCACCAGGTTAATTAACTTCTCTGAAAAATAGTGACAACATGACATTTTGACAACATTTACGAAAATTTGATGCAGTCCAAAAATAAAAATTTGTTATCACTTATTTTATCGTTAATGGTTTCAGGTCATTCAATAATTAATTATTTTTGAATAACTGAAGGTGTCACCATGTCACCATGTGTCACCAGGTTAATTAACTTCTCTGAAAAATAGTGACAACATGACATTTTGACAACAACATAGGAGGAAGGCAGTTATTAATTATTTTTGAATAACTGAAGGTGTCACCATGTCAACAACATAGGAGGAAGGAAGTTATTAATTATTTTTGAATAACTGAAGGTGTCACCATGTCACCATGTGTCACCAGGTTAATTAACTTCTCTGAAAAAGTGTGACAACATGACATTTTGACAACAACATAGGAAATTTGATGCAGTCCAAAAATAAAGTTAGTTTTAAAACTATTTTTATTTTTTTATTCCTATATAAATGACAGCAACAAACAACAACTTTATCGTTTCTGATGAAAAAGTTATTGATTCATTAGCTGAGGAATTAGTTGTGGCAGAAACTAAAACCCTCAACGAAAGAATTGGTGAAAACAAGATTGATTTACATAACTACCTCAAACACGATGGAGGAAGAGGAAGGAAAACTGGTATGGCTTTATTAGTAAATAAAATTTCGAATTTAACGATTATAGATGTTGATATCAATAAATCGTACAATGATGAACTTAAAGAAACAGTAAGAAAAGACATTCTATCAAAACTTTCGGATAAAGATGTTATCGTTAAAACCGCTTCAGGAGGTCTTCACATTTATTGCAACACTAATTTCTTTTATGCAGTTTCGAACAGAATGATTAAATGTTATTCCTGTAATGATTATGATATCGATATCATGACTTCTATTGATGATTCAAAGCGTTCATTGGTAGTTATGGCTAATTCAAGAGTTCGAAAGAATGCAACAGAACCAATCAAAACATACTCATTCATTCGTGGAAGTTATGATTCAACATTAACCAGAACAGTGAATGATATATTAAATGATTTGAATATTAAGGTAAGAGTTGAACAGAAGAATGAAGAAATAAAGACTATCATGAATGAAAACAAAGATGTAAACATTGACGATAAACTAGCTCAAAGCATAGTTGATGGCATCTGTGATTTTGAAGTACATAATGACGGTGGAAACATGAATTTAGAAAAAGAAATAACATTATTCACACTGTTTCAAGCTATTAATTCGTTACCTAATCATTTGATTAATGAAGCATACGATAACGTTTATAACTTCTGCAATTTAACTGAAAATGCAAAAAGTAATTTTGAAAAAGCACGTAGTAGATATGCACATTTAATGACTTCTCCGTTTGTTTTGGTGAAGATTCTAAAACTTTATCAAAAGGAATATTATGATGAATACGTTTTACCTTTATTACGTAAGCCAAAAATAACATTTGATATCAAACTTGATGACTCGTTTTTGATAACAGATATTAGACGCAGGGCTGAAAATCATCAGTATAAAAACAGTTCTGAAGTAATTGAGGATTTATCACGTGTAATCCGTTTTGTAGATTGTGGAAACAAATATTTCATTCAAAAAGATTACAACATACACGACAAAATGAATCAAATATCATTCGTTCTTCAATCAAACATGAAAGAGTCACTTAAAATGATTAAATTATTTAAAGAAGAAGGTAAAACCATAACAGCATGGGATGTACTACTAAATCAATTATCCTCATTAACCGTTAAGGGTGTTTGCTTTAAATCTGATTCTTCAGATGTTTTCTCAACGTTTCAGGGTTATAAATACAACATTCTTGAAAAACCAGATTACTCAAAAATTGAGATGTTTATGAATTTCATTAAAGAAGCCGTTTGTGATAATAACGATGAAGTGTATAAATACCTTCTCGGCTGGATTGCATCAATGATTCAACATCCTGGAATCAAGAATGAAACAGCAATTATTTTGAAAGGACTTCAGGGAACAGGTAAAAACAGATTTACAGATATTATTTCTGAACTTCTCGCTGGTTATTCATGCAAAAACATTACTGAAATAAGTGAGCTAACGGGTAATTTCAATTCAGTGGTTGAGAATAAAATGTTTCTTGTACTTAATGAACTCAAGAATGTTGGTGAAGACAGACTCGCAAACTTCAACGCTTTGAAATCAATTATTACGGATAATCAAATAAGAATTAATGAAAAGAATCAACCCAGAAGAACAGCACAAAACGTTGCCAATTTCATTTTCGTAACTAATAACGTTTACCCTGTCAAAATTGAAGTTGGAGACAGAAGATACGTTGTTTTAAGAGTTAATGGTAAATTCAAGGGTCAATTTGATTACTTCAAGAATTTGATGAATTCATGCACAAAGGAATTTTATGATAATTTGCTGACGTATTTTATCAATTATGACCTTTCATCATTTAATGTACGAATCATACCGATGACTGAAGCCAAACAAGATTTAATTGAATTATCAACAAATCCTTTGGATGTATGGATAAATACACATTATGATGAATTGTGCGCAGGTATGACGTGTAAAAATGCTCTATTCTGCAAACCATCAGACATGAAAGACAAGAATTTCCAAATGAGCATTAAGGATAAATGTGAAAGGAAACAGGTAAGAATAGATGGTAAACAAACATGGTGTTATGTTTTGAAAGAAGAAATGAAAGGATTATATAAACAAGTTGAACCAAACGATGATGAGGATTCATTTACTAACGATGAAATACCTGTAAATGAGGTAGTATAAAGTATGATTGGAATTTATTTTTGCATTTTCTTGTACCTGTTGTCAAAATGTCATGTTGTCACTATTTTTCAGAGAAGTTAATTAACCTGGTGACACATGGTGACATGGTGACACCTTCAGTTCTTCAAAAATAATTAATTATTGAATAACCTGAAAACATGAGACTTTGTCTCCGGACTCTTTGAGTCACTTAACGTAAACATTATTTTTGGTTCATTTACACTCATTAACGAAGAAATCATGACAAATCATTAACGAAGAAATCATGACAAATCATTAACGAAGAAATCATGACAAATCATTAACGTAAACATCAAATTTCCTATGTTGTTGTCAAAATGTCATGTTGTCACTATTTTTCAGAGAAGTTAATTAACCTGGTGACACATGGTGACATGGTGACACCTTCAGTTCTTCAAAAATAATTAATTATTGAATAACCCTGTATGTTGTCAAAATGTCATGTTGTCACAATTTTTCAGAGAAGTTAATTAACCTGGTGACACATGGTGACATGGTGACACCTTCAGTTCTTCAAAAATAATTAATAACTGCCTTCCTCATTAACTTAAACATTTATTTTTGGGTCATTTTATTAAGTTCATCTTTAGTTAATAATTTGAATGGATTCACTAATGTTCCACCTTGAGTCACAACACTTACCCCGGCTAATTGTGAAGAACCTGGGATAAGTACTCCACGAAATGATTTCATTGGTATCATTAATTTAGAAATAGTTGACTTAATTAATTTTGTCATTTATATAAAAATAAAAATTTAAATTATGCCGTTCATTGAACTCTATACCATGCGAATACAGTCATGTAAGGTGGCATGTATTCTTTACTTTGTCCCGTTGTTTGCGTATATCCTGAAACGCGATGTGTATGGTTTCCTCCTCCCTCAGTGTTACTCCAGTAACAATTTATAGCAAACTTAACGTTGTCTTTAACATCATATCCTTTACCTTTTGTCATTGCTGACCAATCCCAATATCTATGCTTATGCCAACCTGCTTGAGATGTAGTTAAATCTACGTAGTGACTGTGTGCAGGTAAATTTTCACCTGTAATCGTTTTACTTCCACCTGTTTCCTTTGAAGAGTTTGCACAATACAAAAACCTGTCAACTATTTGAGTCCAAGTTCCAAAACCAAGTACTACTTCTGGATTTGTTGAGTTCATTGACGTATAAATAGAACCAACAGGATATAATGTTTGAAGTATTTCAGTCTTTAATGTTTGAAGCTCTGTTTTGTCTGCTTTCTTGTCATATAAATCTTGAGCAGTGAATTTAACTTTATTTTCATCATCCATGACAAAAACATTTCTACATCTAATTTCTTTCATCGTTGTTATGTCTTCCTCCGATGTTAAACCTTGTGGAAAGTTAGGAGGTTTATAATATAATACATCCCCACCAGTTCCATCAGCTCCTTCAAACGTTCCTTCAATATTTTCTATACCAACAGTTGCGAAGAAATCGTGTGTATGGTTCTTATCTGCTTTCTTCCCTAACTCATTGTTAACATATTCCTTATCTGCTTTAAGGTCTAAACATCCCGAAACCCATCCTGTATCAGCTTTAGTTTTTAAAATCTTCGATGTTCGTTCATGATACCATTCAACCCTTTCTTTAATTTCTTTATCTTTTTCATTAACATATTCCTTATCTGCCTTCTTCATTAACGCACTAGCCACACAATCCTTATCCGCTTTCTTATTTAACTCACTATCAACATATTCCTTATCTGCTTTCTTATTTAACTCACGATCAACATATGTTTTATCCGCTTTCTTCATTATGTCATTTAGGAAACCTTTTATGAATTCCTCATTTAAATTAAATCTTCCAATCTTCAAAACTTTAGGAA